GACGAGGAGGAGGAGGAGGAGGAGGAGGAGGAGGAGGAGGAGGAGAAGGGAACAGAGGTTAGGACGCAGCAACACACAACACTTGATGTCCACTCAGCGCAAGAAGGGGAGCAAGGGGAGGAGCAGGTCCAGGAGGAAGAGGGAGGCGACGACGTAACCGTGAAGGTCCGTCCGAACGCCGACCTCGACCTCAGGCCAACACATGAGCATCGGCTGAGGGAGAGTGGGCTCCTGCTGGGTGGCGCTTGGGTTCGTTTTCGGCCTCCCGAGGGGCAGCGAAACCATTTTGCCACTCCCGCTACCAGCAGAGCCCACAAGATGGCGCCCGACGCTGATCAGAAGTTCTGGAGACCAGGGGGCAGTGGAAGACCTCACTGCCACCCGCACTTCAAAATGTGAAAGTGGAACGAGGTGGGCGGAAGGAGGAGGAGTGAGGAGGAGGGGGAGGAGGGAGGAGCAGCATGAGGAGAGGGAGGCGGGAGGAGAGAGGAGGTCCAGGAGGAGCTCCATGAGAAGGAACAACAGGCGCGCGAAGAAAACGAGCGCGAAGACCATCCGCACGGAAGCGGCGACTCGCGCGCGGCAGCGCGTGGAGGCAATGATGCCAGTCGCGCGCGCGCCGGCCCCCAAAACGGAGCAGTGCGCGGGCCGCCGAAGGAACCACCGGCGGGCGGGCTGCCAGGACATCTGGCGGCTCCAAAGAGTCGAGGCGGATGTTTCCCGATCGGCGGGGCTGCGGAGGCTGAGGGCGTCTGTGCAACTAAATTTTTGTGGCGGGGCCTTGAGCCCCAGGCTCGGGACGAAGCGCCGGCCCCTGAGAAGTGGTCGAGAGGCCTGGGGACCCATGTCTAAGCCGTGAGATCTCTGGGCAGTGGCGCCTCCCCATGCTCCCCATGGAGGGGGGTGGCATCCTGCCTGGTCAGAAGATGGAGGACCCACTCGACACGGCGTCCTTGCTCTTGTACATCTCGAGGGCCTCCCGCGAGCGACAAAAACATGTCCATGTCCATGCCCCCAATTCTAAGCTCTTAGGTGCGTTCCTATGGATACATGATCGCATGGATCATTCAGGGCGGGGCATCCATGCCAAGCCGCCCCGTCTCCCCAGCGTTGTGGCCGAGGAGCCCATCCCGCGAGGCCGTGGGTTGGGTCTGTTTCGCGCGCGCGCGCCTCGTCGAGCTCCGACGACGAGAAGGCGGAGCAGTGGTCCTTGATCAGGTGCGAGAGGCGCTCGGCGCACAGCTTCTCCACTCGGAGCACGTACGCGGCGCCGTGCTTGTACAATGAGTCCGACTGCCACCGCGTCTCTGCCGTCATGATACACCGGGCTTCGGGCCACAGCTGCCGTGCTATCTTCAGCATCTTCATGTTGGTGACGTCCTGCAGCAGGGAGTCAGAGATCGTGGAGATGACGAGCTTGGCATCCCCGTGGTGGACGTGCTCCAGGACGTCGGCCGAAGAGATGTCGCCGTAGGAGGACTTGACACCCCGATCCTTCAGCATCCCGAGGACCTCCTCGTCGCAGTCGACCACATGAACCTGGTTACGTGATATTTAACCCCTAACAAGTGTCAACACGCGTGGGCCCCAGGCAGTGTATTCTAGAGTACTGTTTGGTGTAATATATATATATATATATATATGTGTGTGTGTGTGTTGCAAGATATGGTGTGTATGTGGTGAAAGTTATGTGATACCATGAACGTGGTGCAATCTATGCGGTGTAAACTATGTGATACAATCTTGTCGTGTTCCATATTCCCTACCTAGGCTCTGCCTAGAAGGTTCTTACTCGGTTTGCTTAAAAGAGCCGGGCAGTGGGGCTCGTCCCGGGCGGTTCCCCCAGTTGCGCCCCCTGGGTTCCCCCAGTTTAGCTTAGCTTAACTTAGCGTAGCTTAGCTTAGCTTAGCTTAGCTTATCTCAGCTTAGCTTAGCTTAACTTAGCTTATATATTCTTAGCGTAGCTTAGTTTAGCTTAACTTAGCCTAGCCTAGCTTAGCTTAGTTTAGCTTACCCCATCTTAGCTTAGCTTATCTCAGCTTAGCGTAGCTTAGCGCAGCATTAGCATAGCACAGCACAGCACAGCACAGCATAGCGCAGCATATCATAGCATTGCATAGCATATCTTAGCATAGCATATCATAGCGCAACATATCATACCGTAACATAGCATCTCATATCGCAGCATAACAAATCATATCATAGTCCATCATAGCATAGCATAGCATAGCCTAGCGCAGCAGAACACAACATAGCATAGCATAGCGCAGCATATCGTAGCATATCACCGTCTATCAGAACATAGTGCAGCCTAGCATACCCTAGCATAACATAGCATAGCATAGCGCATTATAGCCTAGCATAGCATATCACAGCATAACATAGCGCAGCATAACATATCATAGCATCAAAGCAAAGGCAACCCAACAGCAGCAACAGCGGTGCTGAACAACCTGCTGTCGCTGGGTGCACAGCAAAGCAGTGCTGAACAGCCTGCAGCAGTGCAGGCAGTGCTGAACAGCCTCCAGTACATGCAGGAGCCGCGAGCAGTGCTGAACAGCCTGCTGTCGCTGGGTGCACAGCAAAGCAAGACAAGGCAAAGCACAAGTAACGAAGACAACGAGCTTACCGACAGCTCTACCGACCAGCTCTACCGACAGCTCTACCGACCAGCTCTACCGACCACCACCTGCTCAGCTCCACTGACCACTCGACCAGCTCCACCGATCAGCTTCACCCGACCAGCTCTACCGACTACCACCCGACCAGTTCCACTGACTACTCGACCAGCTGATCGACTAAACTTGACCAGCTCCACTGACAGCTTTACCGACCATCAATTGACTAGCTCCACCGACAGCTCTACCGACCACCAACCTGCAGCCTGCAGCCTGCAGCCTGCAGCCTGCAGCGGCACAGCCTGCAGCGGCATCATGGGTCGGCACTACAACGACCACTTGACTAGCTCTACTGACCATCACCTGACCAGGTCCACGGACAGCCCTACCGACCGCCACTTGACCAGCTCTACCGACCACCACCTGACCAGCTCTACTGACAGCTCTGCCGATAGCTCTACTGACCAGCTCTACCGACAACCACTTGACCAGCTCAACCTGACCAGCTTCACCTGGGCTCTATTGACCAGCTCTACCGACCACCGCTCGACCAGCTCCACTGACCACACTACCAGCTCTACCGACACCTTTACCAGCTTCAATGACCGTCACTTGACCAGCTCCACTGACCACTCGACCAGCGCTACCGACCACCACCTGGCCAGCTTTACCGACAGCTCTACCGACTACTACTTGACCAGCTCTACCGACCACCACCTGGCCAGCTCTACTGACAGCTCTACCGACAGCTCTACCGACCAGCTCTACCGACCACCACTTGACCAGCTCAACCTGACCAGCTCCACCAGCAGCTCTACCGACCAGCTCTACCGACCACCCCCTGACCAAATCCACTGACCACTCGACCAGCTCCACCGACCAGCTTCACCTGACCAGCTCTACCGACTACCACCCGACCAGTTCCACTGACTACTCGACCAGCTTATCGGCTAAACTTGACCAGCTCCACTGACAGCTTTACCGACCATGTCCACCGACAGCTCTACCGACCACCAACCTGCAGCCTGCAGCCTGCAGCGGCACAGCCTGCAGCGGCATCATGGGTCGGCACTACAATAGCTTCTGCAGCAGTAGAGGCAGCGGCTCATTCTTCGTAGCGGCGGGGCTGCATATCCACGGTGCTGCATAGCCCGTGGTGTCTCGCTAGCCGGCCCTCGTTAGCATCCAACAGGTAGACGCAGTTGCTCCCCGCTTGCACACGCTTCCTAGGACCAGGAGTGCGTGGCCAAAACCAACGATGTGCTTCGCTCCGCATCCCCCGCCCGCCCCCCCCATCCGATCGTATATAGATGTACATATGCATATGTATCCAGATATGTGCACTTATATATATATATATATATATATATATATATATATATATACATACACAGAACCCTACCATCAAAGCAAAGCAAAAGCAAAGCAACAACAACAACAACAACAACAACAAAAGCAAAGCAAGCGCAAAGCAAACACAAAAGCAAAGCAAAAGCAAAGCAAAAACAACAACACAAGCAAAGGCAACGGCAAAAGCAAAGGCAAGAGCAAAAGCAACGGCAACTACGACGATGAGGAGGAGGACGGCGTTTACCGTTACTACCAATGCTGCTTTCCTGGGGGCTCCAACTCCTAGGTAGGGTCGCGCTGGGATAATGGGAAGCAATCTACGTGGTGTAGGCTATGTGTGCGGTGTGCACTACGCGGAATAATAATCGATGTGGCGCCGTCGATTACAATCGATTGCAGTGCATGAGGAGGATGCAACAGGGCGGCAGCGACGGGCGGCGACGGTGACAACATGCGTGGCGACCGACACCAAGCGCAATGGAGCGGGGACGGACGGCGGCGACGGATGCAACGGCGACAATTAGCGCGGCCTTGCAGATCAGCAACTCTCTGTCGCTACACCATTTATTGTGATGCTTGTCTACATCGCAGAGCAGGGGGGGGGGCTGGGAAATTGCATGCCACTCTTGCTCCGATGTCTGGCCGCAAAGATCGCCGCGGCGACATGCAAGACCGACCCGGAGGTTTGATGTGGGGTCGGATAACACGCAACGAGAACTCTCTCCATGAGCTGGGGATCGCTGGCGTGCATCGCCCCGAGCAGCCCGGCGGCAACCTTGTGGAAACCCAGTACGAGGATGTCGTGCTCGCCGTGGTCGTCGTGGTCGTGAGTCGTCGGGGCACCCGCGCTCTGCAGGCGCAGCAGGCGGGACATGCCGCCTGAGATCCGGCTCCAGATGGCCCGGTTGTAGTCGATGAAGTAAGACGAGGCCACGGCGAGGACCGCGAACGTCCAGATGATGATCGTCAGTGTGTCGCCCTCGATGTGCCCGAGAGGCATCCCGAGGCTGCAGATCACCAGGGCGAACTCGCTGATCTGCGAGAGGTTGATCGTGGCCACCCCCGCGAGGCTGCCACGGCCCCCCAGCAGGCGAACCACTGAGAAGATGCCGATCCACCGACAGACCAGTACCACCGCAGCAATCAAGACGCCAGTTGCAACTGCGGCAACAGTGGGAGGCGGGATCTGCATGCCGAGGCTGACGAAGAAGAGGGTGATGAAGAAGTCCCTGATGTACTTGATCTTGCCGTTGAACTCAGCGCTGTACGGGAAGGCGGCCAGGGCAACGCCTGCGATGAGGGACGCCAGCTCAAAGCTGAGGCCGACAAACGGGAGGGTGGCCACGCAGCCCACAAAGAAGCACCAGGCAAGGGAAAGAACAAGCATGAGCTCGACGTTCTTGGACGAAGAATACAGAACTGCGGGCATCACGAACTTCGCGTAGACTACCGCCACGACGAGCAGGACGGCGATCATGCCGAAGGTCTTCAGGATAATCACGATATCGGGCGAGTCCAGACTGGGCTGCACGGCAAGGATGATAATGGCCCATATGTCCTGGAAGATGAGTATGCCGATGGTCAGCCTGCCGGGAGCGCTGCCCGTGTCGCACTTGACGGACAGCCCCTTCACCACGATCATCGTGGACGAGATGCCGCACACTATCGCAGCGTACACCGTCGCCATGGGACCCTCCCCGAACGAGATCCCAGCGGCCGCGAGGCCCATGAAAATGCAAATGTGGAGACCAACGCAGATGGGGAACTGGAGGGCACCAGTGATCAGCACCACCTTCCCAGGATCGGACAGACTCGGATCAGGCCTCATCGGATCGGCTGCATCAGATCGGGCAGTTTCGGCACGGAGTCGAAATCGAATTGGATCGACGGCTGCACCAGGATGCACAACAGCGCTATGTCAGAATCGGGCCGCATCGGATCGCCTGAAAACCGAAATCGAGCTGGATCAAACTGGCCGAAATCGATATCGAATCGAATATATCGGATTCAAATGGGTATCACCTTCCCCATCTTCAGCAGCTCTTTCACGTTCAGCTCCAGGCCCACCATGAAGAGGAGGAAGATGAGGCCCAAGGAGCTCAAGGTGGAGATGTCCTCGTGGCTGTGTATGATGTTCAGAACGTGGGGGCCGACCGCCACGCCTCCCAGCAGGTAGCCCAGGATGAGCGGCTGCTTGATGAAATTTATGGCCATTGCGAGCATCCCCGCGCAGAGCAAGGCGTAGGCGATGTACGTCATCAGCGGAGGGGCTTCGCCTCCCAGGCGGCGGCGGTGGTCGTCCGTGGAGTCGGTCTCCCCGAGGTGCGTGGACTTGGCCACGAGGGTGAAGAGCACGAATGCGAGCGCGCTGAGGTAGATGGCAGCCTGCACCGGCCTCGACTTGCTCAGAGCGCTGCCTCTCACGGCCACGCGGCTGAGCCCCTCGCTGACATTCTTCAATTTCCGGTCGCCGGGCTTTGTGATATGGTCCATCTCGGCGGCCGACACCGCCCCGACCCCAGGCTTCAGGCTGGTGACCCTGGTCATGGCCGTGCCCGCCGTGCCGCACGTGCCCCTTTTGCCCATCGACTCCCCGCCGGTGTGCATCTCTTTCATGCTGAGCCCAGGCTTGCTCGGCGACCCGACGAAGCCACCGTCTGTAACGCGGTGGGACTGCAGCGGCGACGGCCCGCCATCGCCGTCGCTGTACTCGGAGTCGTACGACGCCAGACTCTCCCTGTCGAACGACCCCCTCCGAGCGCCCGCCCCCTGCAGCTGGGCCGTGAGCTGATCGTTCATCTTAGAGAGCCTGTCCACTTCGCGCCGCAGCCGCTGGACCTCGCCCGTGCCCTCGGCGTCCTCGGAGCTACGCCGCGACGAGCTCTCACGGCTGTCCAGCTGCATACTCTTCCCGCTCTTCGTCGACAAGGGGTCTTTCTTCGCATCGGGACTCAAGACTGGGGCGTCCGCCATGGTGACCTTGACCTCGGGAGCCTCCGCCATCGGCAGCCTGTCACCTGCCACTACGCCACGAAAATATATGCGTAGACACCCTCCCACGAACTTTGCATGTACCTTCAGGGAGGGCGGCGGTGTGTAAAGTCGCTGGCTCCCGGTGGTGATTTATACACCGCCACCCTCCCCTGAGGCCCAAGGAAACTCCATTGGAGGGTATCTGAACATTTTTTTGTGGCGGAGCCACCTCGCGACTCGGTATTCACTTGCCACGTCGTACAGAGGAGCCCTGCCGACTGACTGAGTGAGCTCGACTGCGGCTTGAGCTGCAATTGCCGTGGAGGAGTGTCTCGGGCGGCATCGGGACCAAGTTGGCCATATTTGCACCTCCTAGGCCTGCTAGACAGTCTGGGAGCCAACCTCGGCCATCTTCGGCGCACTTCGGTGCTCTTGGGCGACTTCCGGCTGTCATGGAGGCCCTAGGGGGCGCCCAAGAAGCGAACGTCTGCTGATCATTATCGCGCATCGGTCGCAAGAAGGTCGGAGATTGCTGAAGAAGCCCCGAAGACCAGCCCAAGTTGGCCCAAGGGGTCCCACAGAGGGGACCAGCCCTCCAACATGATCCTAAGTCCCCCAGATGGCCACAAGATGCACCCAAGTGGGCCAAAAACCCCAGGAACCCGACAAAAGCCCCCCCAAAGAGCCCCAAACATATCCGCAATGCTCTGGAGCGCGCGATGGCGGAATCGGCCGAAGGTCATGACATCGTCACCCTCACAAGCAATCTGCTACTGCTCTTTGCCTCCGCCGGAGCTGCGACTCTGAAGTATCCGCACCCCCTGGTCTGAAAATTCCAAGCTACATATTAACACGCCCATGGCCAGAACGTGCCAGCAACACATCCTCAACCCGCTGGAGTAAAACTTTCAACACCATAACATCCCTGTCCCCCTGGCCTACAACTTGCAGAAACAGCATCATCAGAACCTCAGGCCTAACACTGCCAGCGACAAATATCCTCACCCCCTGGCTTAGAACTGCCCGCGAGCGGGCAGCAACGTATCACTCTTATCCCTAATCCCCCGCAGTTGCGGACAAGAGTGATGGAGAAGCCTTGGCTGGGGTCGCACGGTTGTGTTCTCCAACGCCAGTGCAGAGCAGCCCGCCGCAGGCGCCGAGTTTGCTCTTGAAAGCAACTTGAGTGGGCCGGCCGGCCGCAGGCACTGATTTGATTGAAGCAGTGTCGCGGGTGGCTCGCGGAGCGGATGGTTCGAGGGTGGTTCGATGGGCGGGTAGGTTGTGGGTGGGCCACGGCGGGGGCGGGTCGACTGTCAACCGCGGGTAGGCGGCTGGGCAGTTCGCGAGGCGACGACGTGAACAGGAAACACAGAACAACAACATCAACAATTATTTCAAGACTGTTCACTCTTCGCTGCCCGCGTGTCACTCAACATGTATGTTCCAAACACTCGATTTCTGCCCTCTTCGTCCTCGGTCGTGCCTCCATCGGGAATGTGTCTCCTTTACCTGCCAAGTGTGGTTGGCGCAGCCCCTAAAACAGGGGAAGGGAGGGAGGAGGGAAGGATCAAGGGGTAGGGAGAAGGATGGAACACAAGAGAGATTAGTAGGAGCAGGAACAAGCGGCAGAACCAGACGGGGGGTCGGGCGGGCGGACCCTACCAGGCGGGTCAGGCGGGCGACCCCTGACGGCGGGGTCGAGCGGGCGGGCCGGTGATTCCCGAATGTCGAGGGCGCGGCATCCGAGAAAATTGCGAGGACGCCCCACGAGAGAGCGCAAGTCTTACATAAACCGCGAAGAAATGCTCCACGAGAGGGCGATACGGAACAAACTGTGAAAAACATCAGGCCAAAGCCGCCGTCGTCGCAATCCGGGGGGCGCACGACCCGCCCATGCAAACAGCCGGGCGCGAACCCCGGGAGAACCGCCCCAATTGAGAAACCCACAATGGTCACCGAAGGGGGACCAACAGCGACTACGCCAACCCGTGTAGGCCCCAAGCAGGGCGCGTCGCGAAAAATTGTCGCGCAACCCGCGCCGTGCACCCCGCTGTGTGCATTACTACGAGACCTATGTTGCTTCACATCACCAATTTGACCCCTGCTGACTTTTTTTCAAAATCATATATTGGGATGAAACGCTGCCGCTGGATGTATCGAGCACAGTTGATCACAACACAAACGCTCCTGCGAGCCCCCGCCAAAATGGCAAGAAATGGTAAGCTCAGATCCGCATGGCTACATTGCAACCGAACCGCTTGACCACCATCTCGACCGAACTGGCGGAATTCGACCACGCGTCCGACGAAATGCGTTCGACGAGGGATGCGCTGCACAATGCCCCGGCCACGGGCAGCGCTGCCAAAGAAAGCGGGCCCTTCGATGTGTCACTTTCAGCGCCCGTGAAAGTGACACCTCCCACGGCCCACTTAAAGAGCACCAGAAAGGCTCCAAGAAGGCCCCGAGAAGGCCCCAGGGCGGCACCAAGAGGGCTCCCAGAGGGACCCAAAGAGAGGCCCCAATAAGGGCCCAAGAGGGCCCTCCGCGGTGTCACTTTCAACGCCCGTGAAAATGACACCTCCCAGGGCCCACTTAGGGCCTCAGAAAAGCTCTAAGAAGGCCCCGAAAGGGCCACAGAGAGCCGCCCTGGGTTCAACTCCGCGGCTTTTTCAAAGGCAGAGGAGGGCGCAAAAAGGGGCCTCAGTGAGCCCCTGGTCTAACTCCACCTGGCGGAATTGGAAGCGATATCGCCCGGCGCCTTCATGGAGCCGCTCGGAGCTTCCAAGACGGCTCCAGAAGGCCCCAGGAGGGCCCCAAGAGGATCGAACGACGATTCCTGGAAGTGCACCAGTGAGACCCTTGTTGACCTCCGCCTGGCGGAGTTGGAAGCGACAATTTCCAGTGCCCTCTTGGGGCCTCTGGGGGGCCCCTCAGAAAGCTTTGGGGAGCACAGTGAAGGCCTTCGCAGGGCCGCGTGAGAGCCGTACCAGGGCCGCATGTGTGCGCGGATGGGGGCGACGAGTGCTGACGCTGACGAATATGAGAATGATGAGGGCGATCAAGGCTGGCCCGAAACAAATCCTGGCGCCATTGCAGGCCGCCGATTATCGGCCACGCCGCCAGGACGACGCCAAGCAACAAAACGACACCAACCAAAACCGACACCAACCAACAAACCAACAAATCGACACCGACCAACAAAAGGACACCAAGCAACAAAACGACACCAAGCAACAAAACGACACCAACCAACGAAACGACACCAACCAACAAAACGGCACGAATCAACAAAACGGCACTGACCAACCAAACGACAAATCACTTCACGACACCAATGAACAACGCGAAATCCACCGACCGCCAACCAAGCATAAAATCAACCGACACAACGAAACCAACCCATAGAGCCAGACCAACCACTGGATTCGTGAGTCGGGGTAGTCATGGAAGTGAGCCGCTGCAGCCCGCGGAAGCCATTAACAGTGACCAGAGCACCGCAATGCAGCAGCGTCCCCGGGCGGCGGCGGGAGTCTCGGATCTCCCGCGGGACTGGAGCGTAGCGTGTTCGTCCTGGGTCCGGTTTAGTGAAGTGAAGAATTTCGGGGTGCTTGGCATGGCAAAAACCTTCACTTCACTAATCTGGGGCCCCTGGAGCCCCAGGGCGTTTCAGGTCCCCTCGCTGTCTGGGTAGTCCAGGGGGCGCAGTGGCGGCTTACCAGAGGCCCTGTTCCCTAGCCTCACTTGCTTTCACCCGTGGTGCTCGACGGCCGTCTCGGAGCTGTCTTGTGGCGGTCTGGGGCAATCCCGAAGCCTCTTGGAGCCATCCCAAGGCCCCAAGGCGCCACCAATGGGGGCCCCAAGAGAGCTCCCAGAGGGCCCCGAAAGGCCTACAACAGATTGCACGTTCGCGCGAATTCTTTGTACCACTTTGGGGGGTCCCTCTTGGGGCCCTCGGGGAACGTTCTTGGGGCCCTCCGAGGGCCCACTGGGGCCCCGGGAAGGCCCCAAGAACGCTCCCAGAGGGCCCCAAGAATGCTCCAAGAGGGCCCCAAGAGGACCCCCACAAGTGACAAAAACTATTTGCATGAGGGTGCAACTTACTCGGCGCCTCTTGGGGCGCTCTTGGAGCCGTGCTGGGCGCCACTCGTGGACGACATGGGCTGGGCGACGGCATGTGGACCCTGTCGCTTGGGCCATCGGGGGTGCTCCCCAATGGGGCCACGAAGCTTGTGAGCGTATGACGGAATGGGCTGGGCGGCGGCCTGTGGGCCCTGCCTGTGGGGCCGTCGGTGTAGCTCCCCGTGGGGCCACGAAGCGTGTGAAACGTATGCCGAAATATGCTGGGCGGCGGCCTGGGAAACCTGCCGCTGGGACCTTTTTTTGGTGGAGCTGCCTATAGGGGCACGAAATGTTTGAGGGTGTCATCAATGTGGCCTGGGCGACGGCATGTGGACCTTGCCGCCGGGACCTCCGATGAGCTCCTCATGGGGACACGAAGCGTCTGAGGGGCGTGCCGACATGGGCTGGGCGGCGCACTAAGGACCCTGCCGATGGGGCCTTCGGTGGAGCACCTCACAAGGCCACGAGACTTGCGGGGGATGTGGCGAAACAAAAACGCGGGGGAACAAGGGGGGTGTTTTGATGATGTTGATGAGGATGGTGGTGGTATTGATGATGGAGAGGACGAGAATGCTGATGATGCTGATGATGATGGTGATGGCGACGATGACGATGGACGATGACGACGGGGACACGCGGAGAGCAGGGGCAGATACGCCAAGAGGGAGGACGAGGGAGGGGGCCGGAAGGAATGACGCGGGGCGGTGTCTCTTCAAAACGAAGAACCAACACTGCAATATGGTAGGAAATTTCTGGACGACCCCCCCCCGTGGCGCGGTCAATGTCCGCGACAGCATCGCTGGCACTACGAACGAAATGATCGAACTCTTCCTGCGACGTTACCCGCGGGGTGGATCAGCCAGGGATGGGGGTCGAAACCGCCCCAGCGCAAAGCAAATGTACAATCCTGAGAAACCCCAGCCCACATCAACCGATCCGCAACAAGCACGCAAGCCTTTGACGACCCCAACGCACGTGACATCGCATAACGCGACGCGCCATCGAAAACGTTCGACGCGCGGCCTCGGAATGACATCGGGCTTCATGGAACGCCGAATGGAAAACATGAAAAACCGCCCTGTGGGCTCCGAGACCCAAAATTACTGATGTGAAGGATTTCGGCTCGTCGAATTACATGTTCAGCAATCTGGGTGGTGCACTGGGCTGTGTGCAACCTATGCAGCGCAGTCAACCACCCGCCGAACTTGAAGTTGTCAACTCCGCTG